TTTCCGCGCCTAACTTTTGAATTGTAATTATCTTAATTAATTTACTGGCAACATAAATAACTCATTACACAGAATGGCCACATTATTACGCTCAATAGCGACAATATCTCTCTGCCCAATGGCAACAGTGTCTTAATTATGCCTAATGGCAACATAAGTAATTCAGTACGCCCGATGGCAATATTACTGCTAGCTCAATGGCTACATAAGTGATTCATTACGCCCAATGGCGACATTATTGACAATTTAGCCCAATGGCTACATAATTGATTCATTACGCCGAATGGCGATATTATTTACCTTTTGCCCAAAGGCTACATTATTAGGCTCCTAATAGCTTTATTTTGCTGTAAATAGCAACATGAATAGAAAAGAAAATGCCGTAATCTGGGGTGAATGGGGACAGTTTTTTATACAAATGCACGTCACAGCCTGCTGATATCGAGAATTTCGTTTTCTTTTAACAGGAAGTTGTGACCTTCCAAGTCCTGTACTTTCCCCCAAAATCGTGATGATACGAAAATTTTAACTATTTTAATTTTTTTTTTACTTATTGTCCCTATTCATCCTCCACTGGGGTGAAAAGGGACACCAGCAAATTTCAATGTAAATAAGGCGTTGTCCCCATTCTGCTAACTGAAAAGTGATTTAAATAATAAAAAGCAAACAAATGACAATTGTCCTACACGCCCTGACCATTGTGAGATCTGAAAGATGAATTCCTCAATTAAACCAGGGCAGTATTCAAAAGTCTTAAATATGAAATAAGTACATAAAAGTATTCCCAAGGATGCGATAAGAGGCGGAAAATGTCAAAGAAAGCCCCCCCCCCCCCCCCCCCCCCCCCCCCCCCCCCCCCCCCCCCCCCCCCCCCCCCCCCCCCCCCCCCCCCCCCCCCCCCCCTCTTTGATACTCAGACTCCCAACCGCTCAATTTTTGGAGAAAAATATTTTTCATAAAAAAAAAAAAACTTTGCTTAAATTCATGATCCACTTGCATGGGACGTTATCACGCTTGTTTTACGGCTGTTTTTCAAGGTCTGGTTTTGAGGTTTATATTGACATTTTATGCTTTCACCAAACAACACCGATTACACAGATTACTTTAGGAGGATGCCAAACTATACATTTTTGGAAAACAACGAGTTCTGTAGGTGCCAAACTTACTGAGTTATGACTAAAAAATGGAAATAAATCAAGATTGTCCCTCTTCACTCACCTGTCCCCATTCACCCCGGAGCCAAAGCCAAGCTGCTTCTTTCTTTCAAAAAATAAAAAATGGGGAGGTGTAGTAGGGCCTATGTGGCATCATAGCCAACATCAATATAGAGGTGGCCCATCTGGCAACAGCCACTCAACCTGTAACCTGGACATGGCGTTGGGCCAAGCCAGCCTTTTTTTCTGATGTGTTTTCGTGATTTCCACTCAACAAATATTGTTTAGTTGATCATCTGCGTCTTCATTTTATTCCGACCACCGATCCACATCAATTATCAGACCCACACCAAGAGGAGGTGGGCCCAGAAAAATTTAAATATCTCAGCAACCCATATACCAACTTAAAAAACTTTCGCTCGTTAGAAAGCTGGAAATATGACTTACAAAATATTTTTTACAAATTTTCTTTATCTACTTAACTTTTTGAGATAGAAATTAAGAAAATTTACTTTTGGGTATACCCTCATAAATATTAAACTAGCCAATAATAATACTTTGTCTGGCTTTGTTCATTTTTTTCGCCTTTTTTTTTAATACTATTTTTACTATTTGAAACCACATAATTCTTCCGCAGAAAAATACCAGTGTGTTACACCAGGAGGTGCAGAAACTTCCTACAGGCTTATCATTGAAAATTCATAGATAATGCTAAAGACAAAGCTATAGACAAGGAAGAAAACGAGAAAATGGAGCGATCAAGTTAGTGGAAATGGATTGACAAAGCTGTGGATAAAGAAGGTACATAATAGACTATTCTGATTCATTCCCTCGAATACTCATGTGAGCATTATTTTATTCATAGACAAAATGATTACCGTGGCATCTCATTCTGCACTGGCAGGTTGTCTACTAAAACTGGCTGGGAAAAAATCAATACTTTTACGGCACTTTTTCAGTGATTTTCCAAAGTATTTAGAACCTTCTCAGCAAAAGGGTTTCAGTGCTATTTAGTCACTCAATGTGATGAAATTTGCAAAATTCGAAATTCACAAGCGAATTGCAACTTAAGTGATGTAGCCACGAAATGCGAGGCTCATTGCTTGCCTGCACAATCGCGATCTAGGAGGTAAATACTGCACTAAGAATCAATGTGAAAGTGATTGCATACTTTCCAGGCTGTCATGAAAAACTATGCACGGTATGAAACGAAAAATTCCGGAATTACTTGAGGAATTTCAACACGTTTTCAGTGCTTCCGGACCGTTCTGAAAAATCTGCGCAACATTGCTGATTTTTAGTAGACACTTTGCATTGGTCTACGTTTGCCTTCATTTGAAAGAGGATTTGGTTTTCTACTTTTTTTCTCGGTTGTCTTAATTGGACGTATTTCTACCAAACAGACCTATGTGGAGGTGAGAAATATTGGATGCGCTCTTCGAAGCTGCATAAGAAGCAATGTAAAAGTGGGCGTGATTCCTTTTGAAGAATTGGAAAAGCGGGATTTTACATTCTATCAAACAGACCTATGTGCCAACTGAATGAGAGATTCATGAGCCGCGGGCATGGCAAGAGAGCGTTGTGGACAGGGCTCATGAGTTAAAGACTCCCTCTAACGATCTCCCCCTCGTTCGAGTGCGCACTATCATTGCCGCTGACGTCACTGGCGCTTCATTATTCCCATTCACTCTTACGGCCAGAGAACTAACGAGCACACCTCATATTTCTCACCTCCACATAGGTCTGTTTGGTAGAAATACGTCCAATTATGGTTCATTGTCACTTGATTATTGTAGCTGCCCTAAGTCACCACTGTTTTAATTGAACTTCTTTTTTGGTTTACTGCATTAGTCATGTAAGAGACTTTCTAGCAACAATCATCTGGTTTAATGGCTACGTCATTTTGGATGTCTGCCGGTATTCAAAAATCTAGGTGCCCGCTGGAATATAGTGTTCAACCTTCAGATATAGTGATGAGTTGTGATGCTGTTGAAACAAAATCTGAATCACATTAATGAGCCGCATCTCAACAAACGTAAGTGCAGAGTTAGAGCAGTTGCCTTGCTCTCATTTGGATCGTTGAGCAGATCTCTGTGTCCCGAGGCATAATCAGCGAACCAGCCTACATCCCTACCTCACCCCTACAGAAATGTCAATACCCTTTGGGGTCCTGCTCTCCTAGTAACTCCAACCCTTTTGATTAGTGTCTCCTGTGCATTTCAGCAAGACCGTAAATTGAATTTGAAATACAAACATAATTACCCATCATCAGCACGTGCAAGGACTAGTCTTTCTATTTCTATTTACCTTACAGCAGTCTACGTAAGTTTTCAACACCAAACTCTACAGATCAATAAATATCATGAGAAAACCTAAATGCAAAATGGAGCTCTTGCATATGTCAGAAATTTGGGATTGAAATCCTAATTCCTATGCAAATTTTGCGAAGAACACGATGGTGCCATTGGGTCCTCTGAAACCAACTCCATAGCTCAAAAAAAATGCTCAAAATTGAGGCTGTAATGGAGAGGATATCCGACGCCACCCTGAGAGTCCACCTCTATATCAAGACTAACTCTCCATTCAGAGATAGGGAGCAAATACATTGACAGGGTTGCCCCTATGTTAGGAGACTCCAAAACTGAAAACACAGCAACCCTGCTAATGTATTTGCTCCATATCATTGCAAAGAAAGTTTTTCTTGATATGGAGGTGGACTCTCATGGTAGCATGGGATATGACCTCCAGTGCGGCATCAAGTTTGAGAGGTTTTTTTTTTTTTCAGTTTTGAAGTTTGTTTCATAGAAAACCAGTGGAACCATCATGTTTCTCGCAAAATTTTGCTAATTGTTAGGGGATTTTTATGAAAATTTTCCTGTGACACGAACACGGAGAAAAACCCTCGAGAGTTCAGAAGGGATTTGAAACGGAGTTCCTTCACGTGCCTCGGAATCATGTGACTGACTTCAAAACGTACGGTCACAGGTTTTTACTACATATCTAAACTTCATGCTAATGTGAGCTTATAAAAAATTGGGAGAAAGCGAGTTTTCTGGCTTCGCCCACATTTTGTTATCGTAATGAATACCTGGTGAATCATTCTCAGACCTAGTTTTTGGCTTGTCACAACGATTTCTAGGACAAAAATAGGGTTAAAAACCACTCCTTCCCCATGCTCTCTACGGAGCAAGGGAGCCATTCGGGGGTAAGCAGAGAGCCGTGCGTAGAAGTCAGCCCTGTTTGGGCTCTCCTGGCAGCGTCCGCTCATTATTGCTGCCAATCAGAGCTCAAGATGAGTTTAACCTAACCTAGCCTCCACTGGATAAACACACAGGCAAGATACAAGAGATGGTGGCACGGAAAGATTCTCATGCAATGTGACGTGTAGTTTGACAAACTGTAGTGGCTAATAATTATCGTTTGTTTCCAACTTGCATTTGATGGAACTTTAAAAGGCTTTTTCAGGCTGCAGGACTCGGATTTCGCACTTCAAAACAATACCAACATTTTTTTGCTAAGAAATCTATGGATACGTATTTTTTTATTTTCAAATCCCCAACCCACACGACAACCCCATCTGAATATTAATTTAATTAGCTTGAAGCAATGGAAAAGAAACAGGAGTTTCATTTCATCAAAACAGATTTCAAAACCCAACTGGAGGAAAACTTGTTTAAGGAGTTGTTCAGATACTGTTAGGAGCACATGATTGGGAGAAAACCACATAAAAATGGAGATCTTTGATATTTTTATACCCTCTAAGCTACAGAGGGTTCTACACAAAGCTTTCCAAACAGAAAAAAACCAAAGAAAAAGAGTTCCTGCAAAAGCTGAAAAATAACTTACAGCGTCACACCGCTACTCCAGATGTCTACTTTGAAACCAGGAAACTTCTCCCAACCATTGGCAATTTCAGGTGGCTGAAAAGCTGGGGATCCTTGACTGGTTCGACAAGTATCATCTTCACTGTAAAGGTCTAATGGCTGAAATCAAACATATTGGATTTGTCTTCTTACGAGGTTATCAAAACAGAAAATTATCCGTAGAAGAATATTAAAACAAGACATGTTGATGGATACAATGGAATGTGTGGACATGCATTTATGATAAATAGCCACAAAATGTTCATCAATTATTCAAAGTTTTATTTTAAAAAAAATAAATAAAAAAAAATAAAAAAAATATAAAAGGGCAATAAAGGCTATACTGAGTTTTCAGAGATTTCCTCTTGTCAGTTCCATAAAATAATTTGGTAAGTGGCAACTGGGTGAATTCAAATAAGGGTCCAATTCCAGGTTGTATTTCCTCCCAAATTTTTTTTGTGAATTATTGGACAAACCAAACTTTATTTTGACTATCATTAAGTGTAGAATTAGGAAATATGGCTAGTTGGGCTTAAACCCGAATTTTCACGGTCAGGTGTATCATTTCCCAAAATTTGCTCCAATTTTGCCTGATTTCCCAAATTTTTATCTCAGAGGTGACATATAATACTTTTAATTGAAAATTGAACACAATTTACATAAAAGCATCGCCGAGCAGTAAATTAAAGCATAATTGAAATCAAGTAACTCTTTCAGATTTTGCAGAACTAAAACATTGAGAAAAAATTCATCCGTCATGAAAGATATCTGGAGCTTATTCTGCTTGTCTTTTAGACAGTTCCGTCTGTTTATCAATATGCGCACTGTCCTCCTTTAACACGAGAAGAAACTTTTATTTCTTGGAATATTGCAGTACAAAATAGATCAAAAACGCCGAATTTTAAAACTGCGAGTGGGCGTATACCCGCTGAAGTGGAGATAAAGCCAGGAAAAGTTTGAGGAATTGCATTGACAAATCAATTACACTGGTCAACGTTTTTTTTTTAATTTTCCGAAGATTTGCTAACGGTTTCGGAGTAGATTTTTGGCGCTGATTCTTAATATCACCTCCATTTACCTGTATGGGTGCGATTTATCCCGGGAAAGTTCGGAACTTTTCCAGAGAAATCGGAATTTTCCTTAAAAATCTAGCTTTTTCAGCAGAGTCAATTTTCCGAGAGAATCTGTGTACAATGGAAAAAACCTAGGAATTTTTCGATTTCGTAGCCTAAGATACATAAGAAACCATGTACTGCACCCCTATTAAAATTTCCTTTATTTTTCTAATGCCAAGGTTTTCCGGTCCAGTTTCATTAAAATCAATTAATTAGTCACCGAGATAGTGTTTTAAGCCACGGTCGCCATCTTAGATTTTCGAATCTTGGAAATTTGACTAAAATTTTCAGTTTCCCGTCAAAAAATACCTATGAGTACAAAGTTTCACTTTAATCGATTGATTAGGTGCTGAGATAGCATTTTAGGCCATGTCCACCATCATAGATTTTCGAATTTTGAAAATTCGACTGAAAATTCGAGTTTCCCATTGAAAAATACCCACGGCTACCAAGTTTCACGTAAATAGATTGATTAGGTGCTGAGATAGCATTTTTGGGCATGTCCGCCATCTTGGATTTTCGAATTTCGAAAATTCGAGTTTCCCATTTAAAAATACTCCCGAATACTACGTTTCACGTAAATCGATTAACTAGGCGCTGAGATAGCATTTTCGACCATGTCCGCCATCTTGGATTTTCGATTTTTGAAAATTCGTAATCTCCAACAGTATAGACAATGTTAGTGTTTTTTTCATGGAATATTTAGTAGCACATCCTAGAGTATCGGAATAAGAAAAATTTTTCCTCAACGCACACTTCGAAAGTATTTTACGAGCTGATATTAGTGTGTGTGTGTGTGTATCCTTGACGCCCTGTTAGATATCGTGTATAGCATTTTGTTTGGCATCATTAATGGCGTTAATCTTGCACAAAACTTTGCGAATTTCAGAATTTTTGCCATCTGCGACGTGTGAACTATTCAATCGAAACAAAAAAAGTAGTTTTTGGTAAAAACTCAAACATTACAGCAATCATTTAGGGCTTGTTACATTGTTGCCATGTCTCTCCTGACTGTTGCTGACTGTTGCTAGGGACAATGATTCTAGCTCGTGAAAAAGTTATTAATGGAGCAAAAAAGAAATTGACCTATTTTTTTTCTCAAATTCAAAAGCATTACCTATCATCTCCGATAAAGTTTTCTCAAGTAATCACTCTAGTTATGCTGAAACATTGATTTAAAGTCAAGAACCAGGCACGGGGGACACGCAAATTTGGGACAAATGTAGGCAATTTGCAAATTAAAAGTTCTCCTAAATTTTTATTTCAGTCCAAATAAAGTGGAAAGTAGCATGTAACAGTCAAAAATAGTGTGGAAAATGAGAAGAAAATTTGATCTGCCCGTGTTTCTCAGATTTTGACGATTAAAACAGCTCAGTACACCAGAGTAGACGCTTATTTGAACTCACCCAACTATCGATTACCTTTAAAGCAAAAAATGAGAAAAACTTTCAAGATTTGCGATGAGTGCAACTTAGTCAAAAACTTTAATGCTCATACATACACCAGTGTTTTTGAGTCAACGGTAAGGACAAAGGATTAAAGTAACAAAAAATTAATAAAAATAAGAGCTGCAGTGAAACTAATATTGGTAACACAAAAAAAAGTATGCCATTGGATTTTTTTCGATTTTTAGCTTTTTTAAACGCCCAAGATCAACTCAATACAATCATTTCTTTAGGGCATTGGTCAAGACATTCCGGTAAGTTTCCGGGAAATAGGTCTATAGAGGGTAGCAATTTTCAGCCACCAGCTTTTTACCGGTTCTTTTTACCAGTCATCAGAGCAGACAAGACCAATAAAACTGTCATTATCAATAGTTTTGATTATGAGAAAAAAAATGTTAGATCTTTTGAACGATGGCATTACTGAAAGGGGGAGTAGACACTCGTTAGTGCCTGCTCAAACAAAACAGAACGCCACTATTGTCGACTTGTGGTGTAAAAAGGAGTATATTACTAAAGATCAAGCGGGTATGTTAAAATCGAGATCTGCTGTGGTGCGCGCGAAGATAAGAAATGGCGCATATCATAAAAAACAGGGACTCAGTGTGCAACTATCGCGCTGATGTTGATAAACTGAGTACGACGTACCATCAATTTTTCCTGCCCACTTGAGACACCCTGTAACGGTGTCTGATTGGTTTTTCTGGAGCACCCTGTAATTAGATGTTTGTTGATGTTTTTTCGGTTCGGTCATTGCTGCCATTCGGTGGCCGCGGTGACTTATTGTTTTAATTGTGATTTATAGGTTAAGCATTGGCGAGATGGAGAGGAAGTAGTTTTTTAGATTTTTAGCTTAATTATTTTGTTTCAGCCGCTGAGGAAGAGGTTGGTTGTTTCGCCCCGAACGTACGGTATTTTTTACGTGTTTACAGCTTTTATCCCAAATTTTATTGTGTCATCTTTTGTATCATGTCGGGCTGCAAATCATGTATATATATATTGAAAATTTTATCATGTCAGTTTTGGGGGATTTATGTCCTCAATGCATACCTAGTGTTTCCTCATCAGTTTTTTTTTTTTTTTTTTTTTTTTTTTTTTTTTTTTTTTTTTTTTTTTTTTTTTTTT